CGAGGATCGAGCGACACGAATCATAGATGCATCTATATACTTCCGAGGTGTTCGGCACGCTCCACAAGAAAGAAAGAAAGTTTCTGAATCACAAGATACATGTTTACAATACGGTACATGAGCACAATAAATAATACACCCCTTTGCATTTATCGAATATCTTGGCAACAACTCAATGTGATAAAGCTTGTCCTGATACTTTTATTTCTAAATCTATTTCAATTATATTTTCAATTAATTAAGCTAACAGAAAAAGTTCAAGTAATTCAAATATTGCATGATAAAATCTAAAGTCTACCTGGACATAAATATGCTTTAGCTACGTACAAACCGTCATCACCTCGTGCGTACGTAGCACCCACAACTAGTTGCACATAACAATAATTATCACCAGAGTTAGACAGGAGACTTATCTCGCTTCGCAACCAAATTCAAGATTCCAATAAACCTTTGCCTCGCAAATTGGTGTGCGAAAGCTTCAAATCTAGTCACAAACAATTCAATATATTCAACACGAATTGTAGGAATCAATTCCATATGAAATTACTAATCTTCAGAATAAAAATCCGAAATTCATCTCAAAATTCAATAGTGGGGCCCGCATCTCGAATCTCAAAAGAACTCATGAAATCCAAACACCCATTTCGAGACGAGTTCAACCATACAAAAATTATCAAATTCCGACATCAGATTGCCTTTCAAATCTTCATTTTACATGTTTGGAAGATTTTATAAAAATTTGATTTTTCTATCATTAATTCATGGATTCATGATGTAATTAAGTATGAAATCATGAAATCTAATCAATATAGTATAAGGAACACTTACCCCAATATTTTCCCTTGAAAATCTCAAAAATTGCCATTTCGCCGAGCTCCAAATTGTTAAAAATGGAAAATGGGACGAAGTCCCATTTTCAGAACTTAAATCTGTTGCCAAGTCATTTACCCTATGCGATCATGACCAAACTCCCGCGATCGCGAAGAACAAAATTTTTCCAGCATCTTTTTACTCTATGATATCGCGGCTATTCTCCTGCGATCGCGAAGAACAAAGTTTTCCAACAGCTTTCTTCAACTTTCCCCAATAGCCTCTAGTGTAATGGTTATAACTTATCTTACAAAACTCTTAATAACAAGTTATTTAACTTTCTAAGGACTAGACACCAAGATCTACAACTTTCATGTTTTCGTCATCTCCCAATTCCTTATATATTTCGAGATATAAGCTACCAAAGTCACCCCTGTGCAAAAATTTCTTTTTCGCGATTTCCAAACATCTTCCCGGACAGCCTGTAGTGTACCAATCAAAAATTTTTGTACACAACTCCAAATACCAAGTGGTTTGATTTTATGAAAATTAGGCATAAAGGGCTATAACTTTCATTTTTGGATCCTCTCCAAATTCTTTATAGATTGTGAGATATAAGCTTCCAAAGTCGGGTCATTGCAGCAGAAAATTTCCTCTACGCGATCGCGAAAGGTGAGTCAGTACAGCAAAAATTTCCTCTACGCGATCGCGAAAGGTCTTCCGCAATCGCGAATCACTGGCCAATTTCTCCCATTTTACTCATCGCGATCGCATAGCACACTGCTGTAGCCAAAAATCAACAGCTAAAAATGGCCTATAAATGGTCCGAAAGCACCCCGAAACTCACTCGAGCCCCTCGGGACTCTGTCCGAATATACTAAAAAGTCTAAAAATATATCACTGACTAAGTCGAGGCCTCAAATCACATCAAACAAAGCTAAAACACGAATCACACCCCAATTAAAACCTAATGACACTATGAAAGTCCAACTTCTATATTTGATGCCGAAACCTATCAAATCAATTCCGATTAACCTCAAATTTTGCACACAAGTCATAATTGATATAACGGACCTACTCCCACTTCCTGGATCGGAATCCGACCCCTATATCAAAAAGTCCACTCCCAGTCAAACTTCCAAAAACCTTCAACTTCCAACTTTCGCCAAACGACCCCGAAATGACCTACGGACCTCCAAATCCACATCTGGACGCGCTCCTAAGAAAAGAATCATCATACAGAGCTATTCCTGGGCTCGAAATCCGAAGTAACAGAAAGAAAAGCAACGACTGGAGTGGGAGAGTCAGAGTCGAAAAGAGGATTCCTCACTTCTTTCTCTCATTCAAAATCGTGCATTTTATCCCAAACGGACATCGATAACATTAAAATACACTTCAACCCAAATTCATGAAATTCTTCCAAAATGCCAACTTTCCACCGTCGTAGTGCTCCCGGGTCATCAAAAATATGATCCGGGCATACCCAATTCCACAATCATCATACAAACCTATTGGCACCTTCAAATCCCGATTCCGAGGCTGTTTACTCAAAAGCCAAACCTTAGTCAACTCTTCCAACTTAAAGCTTCTGAAATGAGAATTTTCCATTTGAATCAACTCCGAACTTCCCGAAATTTAATTCCGACCATACGTGCAAGTCATAATACCTGAAGTGAAGCTACTCAAGGCCTCAAACCGCTGAATGATGCGCTAGAGCCCAAAAATGACTGGCCGGGTCGTTACAACATATCTCAGCGGTTTGTCTTATACAACGTGTAGTGAGAAACTCCTTTAGCAATCACCAATGATCCTTTGGTGAGTCTCCATTTCCTATCGGCAAAGAGATACTCATACCCGTCTCGATCTAGAGCGATCTTTGAAATTAAATTCATCTGCAAATCTGGTTCGTGATGCACATCTTTTACAACTAGCGTGCATCCGATATTTATCTATCTTGATACAAATATCACCAATTCCCACAATCTTTGAGTGACTAGAATTTTCCATCTTGACCATTTCAAAGTCTCATACTTTGTACCTACAGAAGAATTCTCTTACCGGTGTGGCATGGTAAGATGTTGTGTCAACCATTCATTCTGACTCTTGACTTGCCAAGTGTATGCATTCCTGCTCCTCGTGCACGAAGAGAACTACCAAATCATCTTGTGTACTACATCAACTGTGTTGTCATCATTCTTCTGGCCACTACTCTCGCCTCGACCTTTCGTTGTGTTATCTCTTTCGAAGTGACCGGGTTGACCGCAACTGTAGCAAAATTTTACCTTTTGACCGATTCCTCGACTTTTCACGAGCTTTGAATTTATCACGAATACTCGATGCTCTGTTAAAACTTCTTCACCTATTTTCTATGATAAAAGTTTGCCCCTGATTTTCGGGCTTTTCTTCCTCATCTTATCATTGAGTAGGATGGCTGATATGAGACCTTTTTTAACTCGATGGTATCTCTACCACGCAGGATGGTTGTTGCCAAATTATCATAGGAAGATGACAACAGTTTTAGAAGCAAGATAGCCTTATCTACTTCAATGATTGTTTTTCCGAGTTTTTTCAGCTACATGACTAATCCATTAAACATATTTGAACGGGACAAGAAATTTGTACCTTCACTCATATGAATGGCATAAAGTTGCTTTCTAAAAAAATAACTTATTTGTTAAGAATTTGGACATGTATAGACTTTCTAGTCTTTTCCAAATACCACATGCACTATTTTCGTATCCGGCATTATTGAGTACTTCTCTGACAAGTGCAGTCTGGTTGCACTAGCCGCCTTCTTATCCATGTCTATCTAATCCTCGGCTTTTATGGTTTTGGATTTTGCCTCTTTTCCATCTAGGGAAATGTCTAACCATTGTTTGATGAGTAGGTCTTTTATCTTTCTTTGCCATTGGAGAAACCGTCATCACCATTGAATCTTGTAACTTTATATTTTACTCCTGATATTTTTTTTGTCACAAAGTAAAATTGATCGTAAATAATATTTCTGTAAATAAGCAGAACCTTGATCTAATATCAATTGTTGGAGAAATAATATCCATAAAAATAATATTCATGATATACGATTGTAATAAATGCGAATTACTAAAATACAATAACCAACGGTAATAATAAGAGAAACAAGGACACTGAGATTTTTGCGTAGTAACCCTTCTGAATAACTGAAAAACTACGGCCTAAGAGGAGCAACTGATTTCAGTATAGCAATGATTTTACAAATTGTGGTAACACACTGAAAAGAAATAACCTTCTTTTGATTTTTTTTACCTTACCACAATACCGCTCAAACTCTCTATATTTTTCCTCACAAAGTATTTTACTTCTTACTATGTGAATTGCTTTCTTTCTCTCTGTTTAGTGTGTCTTACAACCGATAGCAAATGCACCTATTTATAGTGCCTATGATTTGCGTCATTGATGTCATCAGTGGTATCATGTTGGTAGCACAAGTCAAACACTGCTTTGTGAAACTAAAGGAAGATCTGCCGAAAAAATCTTCCTTACTGTGCACTTGGTTGGCTTGATATTTCAAAGCCAAATGAAGTTGTCTTCCTTTCACATGGGCAAGAGATGGACCCATCATTATTTATTTTTGAATCCTAAATGAACTCCAACTTGAAGATAATTTTACGCTAAATAAAAAATTAAGGGGTAAAATTTGATACATAGAGTCCGTCTATTTTATGTTGGAGTTCTATTAATCGCAAGGACAAATACGAAATGATTTGCTAATGGTAGGGTATGTCTTAAGCTCCCACATCGATTGAGAAGGTTATTATTGGTCTTTATACATGATCTTGAGCAATCTTTACGTTTGAGCTAGCTTTTACGATTGAATTAGATCTAAAGTCTATTTCCTTATTCCGGTATCAGAGCCGATCACATCCCAATTTATGATTTATAAGTAATTTTTTTGATTTTTAAGGAATTTATTTTTTCTAAAAAATAGATTTAACCAATTAAATATAAAAAAAATTGAGAGAAAATGTTCCCCTACTAACACACATCCAAAAAGTAAGACAGATTTATTTGGTATAAAAATTAATCACAGTCTAAGCTGGAAAAAAAAAAAGAAAGAAAGAAGAAGAAGTTAATTAGTACACAAATTCTTTAATTAGATATTGGCGAGAGTTAACAAGTCACTTTTCTCTCCCCGCCCCCCCCCCCCCAAATCCCCACACCCCCAACGTGTACTCCCCTGAGCAAATCCGACTCCAACCTCCAACTCTAACCTCACACCTACATTTTTCCCTTCAACTTCTTTGAATCTAAGCTTACACAAATCTTCCCCTCTACTACCAGAAAATCCAGACACCCAATTATAATTTTGTTTCACCAATGAAAAGAAGTCACATTAGATTCTTCCACCATAAGAAATGGTCAACACCCATTGTTGTAGTCATAATCTTGGCTCTAATACTTCTTTTTACACTAATTTTTTCCAACCCCAGTTCCTCAATTAGGCCTAAATCTTCAACCCCACTTTCAAAATCGAATCTTTTTAGTGCAAAAGCTGAAATCTTGCCTGAGCTGCCTCGATTAGCTTACTTAATTTCAGGCACCAAAAACGACGGCGTTAGGATAAAACGGCTGCTTCAGGCAGTGTATCATCCTAGGAATTATTATTTGTTGCATCTTGATTTGGAGGCTTCAGACAGTGAGAGATTGGAGTTGGCTAAGTATGTTAAGTCAGAGGTTGTAATTAGGGAGTTTGGGAATGTTAAGGTTGTTGGTAAATCAGATCTTGTTACTTATAAAGGGCCTACTATGTTGGCTTCCACATTACGTGCTATTGCTATTCTCTTGAAGCTGCCCAAGAATTGGGATTGGTTTATTAATCTTAGTGCATCTGATTATCCCCTTTTGACCCAAGATGGTTAGTACTTTGATTAACATTTCCTTTATTTATTTGTACAAATGATAATCAGTGGATGTGATTTGTTTGATGTGCACCATTTATATTTGGCTTGAATTGTCTATGCAGTTGAAATATTTTGAAATGTGGATATTTGTACTTATCGCACTTATTGTCATGAAGGAGTAATGGATGTAGTGATACTCTGAACCAACTGACTTAAAATCTTGAATTTGCGCTGATGATAATGAATTTGATCCAAATGCTGCTCCTCAGCAGCGTGTGCACACAAATTTTAAATTGATTGGCTCACCCTAATTTGTTGTTTGAATTTGATAGCAAGTGTAGTCTTTATATGGTGAAGGTGGGAGTAAGGAGAAGTTGAGTAGCTGGAAATAGCTTGCTTACGTTTTAATAAGTTACTCTATTTTAAGCTAGAAGGGAAGCCTTGAAGCAACGACCTATAGGTCACTGGTTCGAGCCGTGGAAGCAGCCACTAATGCTTGCATTAGGTTAGACTGTCTACATCACACCCCTTGGGTGCGGCCCTTCACCGGACCCTGCAGGAATGTAGAATACATTGTGCACCAGGCTGCCCTTAATACTCTATTCTAAGCTAGAAGTAGTATTATCATTTTTCTAATTGTTTTTTTTCCTTTCCCTTTTTGTTTGGTACATGGGAGAGGAGTAATTTTATTAAGTTAATTACTTGAATATTTGCACCTTGTAATTGAAAGGTCTTTAAAAATCTATATCACAAGTTTATATAGTCTTTTCAGTTGATTATTCCTAATAAGTTACAGTTATGACTTATGAGAATCTCATTATCACCACAGTGAGGTCTTTCGAAGGATATGTAGTTTATACGCTAAAACAATTGATTATAGCTTCTGCTAAAGCTTTGTAAATTCGAGGTTCTGGTCTTAAGTATGGTGTATATAAGGAATGTTATACTATCGATTAACAGTAATTAGTTCTTTGTAAACAGCAGAATAGGTTGTCTTATCAAATAGATACAAAAGTATTACATCTCGTTTTTACTTGTATGCTACATTTTTGAGTCTGTCTCATTTCCACTGTAATTGATTCTGTTCTATTTCGCCTTTAATTATTTAGTGAAGAAACCCGAAAGCCACTAACTTTCAATCAGTTTTTTATCTGGTCATTTCCTTTTCTTTTTCTAATGTGGTTAAACTCTTAGCTATTCCCAGCTTCCAGTTATCAACATTTGTTACAATCATCTTTATTCATCTAATCTCTTTTCTGTTTGTTCTAGATATACTACACATTTTCTCATACTTGCCTAGGGATCTGAATTTTCTTGAGCACTCAAGTAATATTGGTTATAAAGAGTGAGCATACTATCACTTGACTTTGTTTCTACAATATCTTTTTTCTGATGACAAACAGATCTTATCTTATCTATGATGATTGCTGTTAAGTAACTTTGAGTTACCTTTTCGATTTTCTAGGTTTTCAAGGGTGAGGCCTATTATCATCGATCCTGGTTTATATCATATGAAGAAATCTGGTGTATTCTGGGCTAAGGAGAAAAGATCAATGCCTGCTTCTTTCAAGGTGTTCATGGGTACTGCTCAAGATTTGCTCCCTTTTCCGGATTCACCTATATATATTTGTGTTCTACGTTTTAGTGATTCATTTACCTTTTTACTTCACTGATAGGTAGGTTGATTTTTGAGGAGGGAACTCAGAACAAAGTAAAGATTAGTACTCAGTTTTCTCATAAGGTCTCTTAAGGTAGATAGCACAGTTACATGATAAAAATATGTTCGGCCAAATACATAGACGGCTCCTTAAACTAGTCCCAAATTTTCATTTAGACATCTAAACTAAGCATATGACCTATTGGACACTCGAACTATACTCGAAGTGTACCAATTAGACACAGAAATGCTGACTGGCAAGTGCATGCTTCTTACTCAAAATTAAGTGCGTGGAATGGTGTTATGCTAAGCTACAACAAAGTGTTTGCCGGGTAATATAAAACTTCACTGGAAAAGTAATTATCCGATCATTTTTGTTCTATTTACTCTTCTTTTTCCAAATTCAAGTCTTCTGCAATTTCTTCAGCCACATATTCAAATCAATTCTTCTCCCGTTCTTTCTTCTTCTTGAATAAAGCTCATTCCAGTTACTTTCCTGTCTCTCCACAACGGTATTTCTGCCATTTTCTTCTAGTGACAATCTAGAATATATGGCCATTACAAGAGCAGTGCATCAATGTTTAACTGGCAAGGAAATATAGATTACATAATACTTCAAATTTTTAACAGCAGCATCCAATCTCAAAACTCTCAAATGCTGCCTGGTGCACGCTCTTCAAAAATTTCCCAGAACTCCAAATAGTCGCCGAGAAGTGCAAAAATTATATAGCTGATGGAAGAAAGGTGTTTTTGTTGAGCACCATTTTTCATTTATCTGGCACAGTAAGGATTTTACCTGCCATTTTTTGCCACTCTTTAAAGCCATTTTCAGCCAATTTGTGTTTCCAAGCAAAGTGGGTCTATTGATATTTACTTTGTTTTTCCAAGCCAAGTGGGTCTGTGGTATGTTATTACTCTACGTTTCCAAACAAGGTGGGTATTTTTACCAAGAACATTTTCAATGGTAACCTATTCATGTTTTGTTGTTTCCCACTTTCTTTCCGTTTTACACGTACATTTTGGAGCTAATGAAATAAAAAATGTGCTCCATCGTTTTTGGACATCTTTCCGTTAAGTCTGGCCAGTTTTGAAGAAGGAGATGAAGAGTTCTTTTTTCCTCAAGTGTTTTTCCCACATGTTTCCTACCGGTATCTAACGTTTAAATATAACAGATGTTGGACAATGATAACTTGAACGTCGAACCTCCCCCCCCCCGTCCCCCCTTTTCCCCCCGTTTTTCGGGATTGGGCCTGGGGGGGGGGGGGGGGGATGGTAGGACTAGATAGTTCCATTTTGTTATTTGGAAATTTGCTTATTTAATTAGCCTTCATCTTCCTTGTTGATTTCATAACATGTTACCATCATATGCAAAACACATATAGATGTTGTGGCACAGAGTATATTGCTTTCAAGATGATATTTAAACTTTTTCTCTTAATTGCTATCTATAATAGATTCATTTACTGTTTTGCGTTCATTTCCAGGGTCTGAATGGGTGATGCTTTCAAGGTCATTCCTTGAGTTTTGTATTTGGGGATGGGACAATCTCCCGCGCACTCTTCTGATGTACTACACAAATTTCTTGTTTTCTCTTGAGGGCTACTTCCACACCATTGTCTGCAATCACAAAGACTACCAGAACACGACAGTGAACCACGACTTGCATTACATCAAATGGGACAATCCCCCAAAGCAGTATCCTATAAATTTATCGCTCGAACACTTTGAGGACATGGTCCAGAGTGGTGTCCCCTTTGCTCGTACTTTTGCTACAGATGATCCGGTTCTTGATAAAATTGACAAGGACATCTTGAGAAGATCTCATGGCCGGTTTTCACCCGGGGCTTGGTGTATGGGAAGTTCTGCTTTAGGTAACGATCCTTGTATAGTTAATGGAAGTCCAGATGCTGTCAAACCATCATCAGGCTCAAGAAGCCTAGAGAAACTTGTACTAAAGCTCCTTGATACTGAAAATTTCAGGTCTAGACAATGTAAATAAGTTATATTTTTCTTCCTCGTGAAAATCTCTCTTTTCATTTTGTATGAGGCATTCATTTATGTAGCATGGGCAAGTGTACAGATAGCCATTCTTAGGGATGCTATTAGAAAGGGAAATTACCAGTTATGTCCATGTATAAGTAGCTCATTACAAAAAATGGCCAACTGATAAAATATTACTAATATTAGCCAAATTAGCCAATTAGCTATTTGTAGCAAAAAATATTAAATTTTTGCTTTGTTTTGAGTGGGTGTTATTAGAATAGATTGGGCACAACTTAAGGAGCTTGAATCTCAGTTTTGGAATGATTTGGTTAAGTTTTGAGGTGGTTTGAATTGAAAATTCGAAGTAAAAGTTGAACATGAAAAAAAAATGATGTGTATCACACTCTGTATCATTTGTGTATCACATGTATATCCATGTATACCTGTGTGTGTGATACATGCGTGATACATGTTTGATACATGTGCCGCATAAGACTTTTTTGAACTCGATTTAATTACGAATTTTGATACAAAACCAGTCCAAATCACCTCCAATCTTCCTCAAATTTTTTATATTGACTTATCTATATATTTTCAATGAATTTCAACTATACCCATTGAAAAAGTTCCTTTTTTGTTTAGATTTTTGGAATATCGTATAGATTTTTGTATTTCATCACCTTATTTGCTACCCCGTCCATGAAATTTCCTTTCCGTCTTGTATATAATGTTGCTAATCACGCTTAAAAATATGAAAGGTGATTTTTGCATGTGATTCTTTGAGAGAAAGAACCCTATTATTTGGTTTTTCAATTTTTGTTGGCTAGTTTTGGTATGTTTATGACTAATGGCCAGAGTTTGGTAAGTTGAGATTTATTTGGAACATTTGTATAAGTTTCCCATTTAGAAATTAGTCAGTATTTATTTTGTCCTGAAATTTTAAATTAAAAATCTTAACTTCAGGATAATTTAGGTGTGCGCAAGCTACTAAAATAACCAACTCAGATAATCGTCATCCGAAAAAAATATAACTTTTTGCAAGCAAGAGTTGGTTAGATTCTTCCTACCCCCAAAAGAGAGAAAAATCTACAATTTGCTAATTGTCTGAATTACAAGGAAATTAAATAGTTTCAAATGTAAAACTCATGGGGCTTTTGCATAAACAACTTTAACATTTATATACCTTTTGAATAAGCTGCTTTTACCATTTATACACCCCACCAAACTTGTGGCTGAATATTTGGGGACATAGGAATATCTTTTGTAATATTATGCCATAAGGATTTGTACGTGACTGCTATCATAGGTAGGGGTGTACATGGATCGGGTTGGTTCGGCTTTTATCAAAACTAAACCAAACCAACTATATCGGTTTGGATTGGTTCGGTTTTGTCGGATTTTTCGGGTTTTTTGTTACTTAAATATTATTTCAATCTTACTTTATTAAATTTTTGAAACTAAATATATGTTTAGTCAAAATATAAAAAATTGACAAGCATATTATCTATTAAAANAAAACACTGTTCAAAACCCGGAAAATACTCCAGTATATTATGCTGGAGTTCCAGCATAAGTATACTTGAACTCCAGCATATTATACTGGAGTTCTAGGATAGTATGCTGGAACTCCAGCGTAATATGATGGAGTTCCAGCATAAGTACACTAGAACTCCAGCATAATATACTGGAGTTCCAGCAAGTATATTGGTCCAGTATAATGTACTGGAGTTTGGAGCACCAGTGCTCCAGTCTCCAATATATTATACTGTAATTTAATAGATCTTAACATATGATATGAATATGGAAGAACAAAGAGATTTGACGCATTTCAGTAACACTTAATGAGAAAGTGATCTTACAATCCATTATTTAAGGTTAATAAATATGGAGTACTTCATATACTATTAAATATTATATCCCGCGAGATAATCCCAAATATTTCTAGACATTTTTTAAAGAAACTTCTATATAAAATCTTAAAAGTATATATAAAAATTATATATTTATATGTCGGTTTGGTTCGGGTTTTTTTACTCAATACTAAACCAAATCAAACCAAACCTAGTCGGGTTTTTTAATCGGTTTGGTTTGACTTTTCGATTTTCGGTTTTCCGGTTCGGTTTGTACACCCCTAATCATAGGATATGATTCATCAAATTAAGCAAGTGATTATGGATTGTTATCTGCTATCTTTGTTTGGTTACTAGGAAAGGTAAAAGTATTACATCTCTCTAATTCTATTTTATTTTTAAAAGAACTTTCACTTGTTATTGATATGGCTATTAGCTCTTTTCTTTGTATAATTTATTTTCCTATTTGCTTCGGTTCAATGCTGCAACTTATATTTATAGCAAGTTTTGCGCAGAGAAAAAGCAGAACAACGATAGATATGCATAGGGGTGGCAAATGGATGGGTTGGGCTGAATTTGGGCGGGTCAAGATGGGTTAAGTCAATAAATGGGTCATTGCCCAACCCAATCCAAAGTGTACTTGGGCTAAGATGGGTTAAACAATGGGTCATAGCCCAACCCGCCCAACTTGACCTATGTTTTAGAACCATGCTCATCTTGCATAAAAAAAAACCTTTTACCTTAAAATATGTAGATTAAAAAATATTTTGCGGGTGGGGGTGGAAGGGGGTTGGGG